CATGTATTTGTTCTAAGCAGTTTTAATGCGATTAACTCATTTAATCTTTAGAACCATGTTGTGAAGTAGATACTACTATGTTCATTTTGCAGGTAGGAAAAAGGAGCCAGAGAGGTTAATTAATTTGTCCAATGTCACACAGCTTGAAGGTAGCAGTCAGTATTCAAACTCCGACAGCTTGACTCCAGAATTTGCTTTCTCAGCCACTGAACTAATCTGTCTCCCAAAGAGGAAATAAATGGTGTAATAAACCAATAGTAACTTGTCTCAGAGTAGTATTTCCTTTGCCTCTAATAAGGGCTGAAATGAATGAATACATATATAGAGAAAATGATTATAAGATACTCTAAATAGGGGAGAAAAACAGGATATAACATATATACATTATTATCTCAGCTATGAAAAGTTCTAGAAAAATACACAGGAAATGAGAAAGAAAATAGGCCAAAAGGTAAATTCTGCTTGTGGCCAATTTTTCCACCTTGCTTCTTTATACTTGTCTGACTTTTCTAAATTTCCTAAAGCAAAGTTTATCAGTAAAATCAGTGGGGGAAACTATTAAAAATAGATTTAAAAAAAACACATGAAACTGTATAGAAACAGGTTTAGAACAAATACCAACTGGTATCAAACACTGGTTCTCCCTGCCGCGCTATGAAAAACCTGTTAATCACAAAGAAGTTTCATTGACCAACATCTTCTCTTACACAAAGCCTGACCATCACTGCAGGTTACCAGATAGTCATTCTCAGGTCATGGACACACAGTAGGCAGCTTCCACTTTTGTTCTGATAGGTGTCCCTTGAGAGAAACCAATTTTTTGGATCTTTTTGAGATAATTTATTATAAGCATCTTTGATTCCGCAGAGTCCATTTGCCCCTGTATTTCCTGCCATTCCTGGTGCATCTGATCTCCTGGGGCATAGCTTATGAGTTTTGCCCTTAGGCAGCAGGGCAGCTGCAGTCTGTTAAGTGTCAGTGATTTGATAGGCTTATCTAGCCTTTTGCAGCCCTGGGGCCAGAAATGGCATTTAAAAAAAAAAAAAAAAGGCCTTGGTTTCAACACACAGCACAGTGCAACACTCACTAATGGAGTTTAAGCAATTCACGTTACCCCTGAGCCTCAGGATTTTTATCTGTAAATGGGGATGATAAAGAACCTTACCTGCGTGGCTCAATGGTTGAGCTTCAACCTATGAGCCAGGTGGTCACGATTCGATTCCTGATCGTGTTTCTATCTCTCTCTCCTTTCCTCTCTGAATCAATAAAAATATATTTTTTTTAAAAAAAGAACTTTACCTACCTTACAGGTTATTGTGAGTCTGAAGAAGACTCAAGTGAAATAATGTATATGCAAGCCATTTGTAAATGGATTTATACTCTTGTGAATTCTCTTTATTTATTTGTAGCTTCCCACTTTTTCACACCCTTTGGAGTCACTGAGAAAGGCTAATTGAAATGAATTGAAATGAAATTAATTAACATTAAAATCAAGGAGCCTGTCTAGAGGGAAGAACCTTGATGGGAAGGGAGCTGGAGGAATATTGTGGGGGTTTGAGGGATGTTGAAGAGAGAGGTGTAGGAAAGTGAGAGGGTGACTGTCAGGAATAGAACTTTGCGGAAAAGGATGCTGTAAGGTGGGTGCTGTAAGTCTTGCTCATGATGTTTGGTGTAACACCATTTTGCCTCCTTAACAAACTATCAATAAAGCTTCTCTCATGTTTTCTTGGAGGGAGGTTTGTAGTCATCCCCTTGCCCCCCTGCATTAATCTCATGCTAAGATTGGCCTTAAGGCCAGAACAGGAAGAGCTCAAGATGACTTAAGTGCACTAGGGTTCTAAAATGATCCATCCTCCCCCAAGTGAGGATTGAATGAGAACATGCACATAGACTGCCTTGCACACAGTAGATATTCAGTACATGGTGATAATTATTATTGTGAACCAGGAGAAATTTTGCTAATACACAAGTGATTTGATAATGGAGACTTGGTTTTTCCTCGTATTTCCTAGGACAGGGCTGGATTGGGTGAAGGGCAGACCAACCACACCTGTGCCCACACAATAGGTCCTGTTCTCTGACCGACCCTGATCACACTGTTGCTCATACCTTACTCTGAAGTCTTGGAGCCACCAGGCCACTGGTTGTTCTACTAGGGGCTATGTGGCTGCCATGTGGTCCTACCATGAGGTCTATGTCTAGTGTTAAGCCTCTGCCTTCTAGTATCCTCTCCTGCCCCCACTCCATGCTCCACTGGCCCATCTGTGCAGGAACAGTAGGAGCAGCCCCTGGGTGCTTAAATTAGAGATACTGTTATTCTATTTCTATTTTCTGACTTAGGTTCTATAGACTTAGCTGTCTCTAGGTATCTTTATCCTTGAAACAATGAGGCCCAAGGTTAAACAATAGGTGCTGAACGTATGCAGAGGAGAACTGGAAAGGCTATCTAAGGGTCTTGATGATCATCTATAGTGGAGTGAGAAGAAGGGTCTGAGAGGACACTTTCAACTGCCTGCACCTCCCCCCCCCTCCAGCCACAGACTTTAATAACACCTCCAATTCAAGAGTGCTATGAAAATATTTTTTTGAGTAGGTTGTTGTACATTTACATTATAGAGTAGGGCATTATTTGTGTTAGCCAGTACAGTGCCTAAAATGGTGATGGAGAAATGCATTACCAAAAATATTATTTATGAGCAAAGACTGAGATTGTGAGGGGCTGAGATAGTGTCCAGAGGGAAGTAGGTATCTGTACTTCTTAAGGGGAAAAAAGACTTGTCAAGGTAGGAGCCCCAGAGACAACAGGTATGGAAGCCACATAAATAGGCTAGGGAGGACAGAACTGTCCCCCAGTGAATGGTTCAGCCTCCTGCCTCTCACGTATAGGTCAAAAAGCCCCAACTGACCAGACAGCAAGCTTGAGAGAGCAGCCCCTAAATGGGGTAGCCCACAGCTGCTCCCATCCCGGAAGCTTGCTAGGAGTACTTCTACCACCCTGCTATTCTGACTCAGAGTCCCAGGAACTTCTTGGACTTATCATGTCATCTGTGTTCATTTCAAATCTGCAAGTCAAGAATCCGCAATAAGAGTGTTCTTTGTTTCCCCATATTTGGTTAGAGTGCTGGTGAAATATGGTACCTATCTGCTTTGTTTAACAATGGACAGGTTACTTTGATTTTCTAAATTGTATAAGTCATCCCATTCGATTGAATGCCTTATCGATTGAATGACTATTCCATTGATTGTTATCATACTGGTCTTAGAGAGCACATTCTACTGTACCTGGAAACAGGACAGCACAATTATCCTAAATTGTTTTAGTGGCCACAGGTGGTGCGTTCCAGCTGCCTCAGTGGTCCCGAGACCAGGACAGCACAATTACTCTAAACTGTCCTGATAACTCAGTGGTCGGGAGACCCGAGGGCTCTAGATAATGTGTTTCTATCAACCCAGTGATCCGGAGACCCAAAACTGTAATTTAGATAACATGCCTAAGTTTAACTCAGGTTACCCAAGGACTCTAGATAATGTATTTCTGTCAATTCAGTGACCCCGAGACCCGAAACTGTAATTAACATGCTTAATTCTGCTTCTGTAATCTGCTTTTTTTGGGAGCCAGGTGCCACATTCCAAACCCTGGGATGTAATCAATACCTTTGTGATTTTTGCCTATATAAGTCTGGTTTTGCCACCATCTTATTGCTATGAGATTTGGGAATGACCCCTCATAGTCCCGGATTGCAATAAACGTGACTCTTTAATTTGACTTCTTGAGGCGTCCTTCTGTGATTCGCGGGGTACATTACAACACTGGTAAAGACAACTATGGAGTTAGGACTCCACAACGTTCTACAAAAACTTCTCTGTTTCTGGTTCTTGACACAAAAGTGATACAGAAGAAAATGATGAAGGCTTTCAATGAATGTCAAAGAGGGTTCGAATTCCAGCCCTTCCATTTCTGAGGTGACTTCAGTTTCTTAAACTATCCAGTGAGGCTAAGGCTACCACCTATGTAATGGTGAGGAGAGACAATATAATCAGCAGAGTACTTTTGCTCTGCAAATCGTAGGTATTATTTGGTGTCCCCTTTTTCATTCCCTCTGCCATTGTCATCCCTCCTATTATATCTCCACCGATGGAAGCTTCCAAGTTGGTCTCTGCACCCCAGGCTTGCAGTCTCTGCTTCTGCCATTCATTTGCTGGAGAAATTAGCGTAAAACACAAAGATGCATGTCATGCCCCTACACACAATCTTTTAATAGCTTCCAATTTTTTTCAGAATAAAGTCTAAAACCTCCCCAAATAGTCTTATGAGTTTGTTTGCTTCCACTCAATCACACCTACATTTTACTGTTAGGAGCACCTTCTGTATGCCAGATACTCAGCTAAGTGCTTCAGAGACGATTTCACATAATCCTGGAAACAGCACTGTCATTAATGTCTCCATGTTACAGACGAGGAAAGGCAGGCTCAGAAAGGCTAAGAAACTCACACCAACACACAGAGATTTGAATTCAGTCTGCTTGTCACCCTCTCCAACTGGAGCTCTTTGTACAGAGCAATGTTTCCACCGCAGCTGGGAGGGGCCAGCAGAGACAATTGTAGGGGTCCGGGATCTGGGGAGGGAGGAAGCAGTGTTTGGAAGAGGGCATTGGGATGAGATGAGGATGCTACTGGCGGTGGGGAGTGGCCACCTTGATTTGGACAGGGAATTCTGGGCCTGGGCTTCAAGCACCGGCTGAGTGTGTACCCCACCTCGTGTGTCCAGAGGACCTAGACTACCTTCCACTCTCCCGTCCCTCCTCCCCTACCACACCACCTTCCCTCCAAGCTCAGAGTCAAGGGGGCGCTCTAGAGGCATCTGGGAGATGATTATGGCCTCAGGTGGTCACACCCTTTCTGCCTGAGCTTGCTCAGCATGCAATTTCCTCTCGCCTTCCTCTAGCAGCCCCAGTGAAGGGAAGGAAACTGCTCCTTTCCTTCCGGACCAACCCCCTTACCTGTGGCCGGTGGCCCACGGGCCTGCAGATACCTTGGGGTGGAAGTCTCACTGTGCGCGGGGCTTCGCCCGCACTCCTTCCTTTATGTCGGCCGCATTGGAGAGCACCGAGTACGTGAGACGCTGGAGGTTGGAATGTTCTTGCCTAACCCTGTGAAAGAGATTTTGTTGCTTCATATTCTACATAAGAAGAAATCGAGGCGTAGAGAAGTTAGTGACTTGAGCAGGGTCACGCAGTCAATCGGTAGCTCAGTCAGGATTATAGTCCCGTTTATTAGGATGAAAAGAGGGAGAGTGCTGGATTCAGCCCTGGGGACCTGGGTAGAGCCAGCATTTGGGGATCCTAGCCCCGCCGCGTTGCCCCTCCCCCTAGTTCAGGTCTGCCCTCCTGCCCTCCTCTGGAGGAGGCAGGGTCCCAGCATCAGGCGGTACCCTAACCAGGCACCCCTAATCCCGAATCTTTGCTCTCTGGCGACCTCCGGAGGGCCAGATGGGTCCGGGGCTCCGTGTGGCTGGGAAACGCCGTCTTCCTGATTATTTGCATAACGGAGACCGTTCGCTTCCCCGCCCCTCCACCACGCTCCTCTTCCTTTCCTCCCCAGTCCCCTCCACCCCTCATCCCCCGCCTCTCGCTCCCCCCCTGCAGACCCTCCTCCCTTCGGGGACTCCGGCGTGGGGCTCCCAGCCTGGGGCTCTCTGTCCCCCGCCCCGGACAGAGTCCTGAGCACCTGGGGGAGGGGAGTCCTGGGTTGGGCCGGCCGGGGAAGACGCCTGGGGCACTGCCCAGCGCTAACAAAGAGCCAGCTGCCGGCGGGCTGGGGTGTACGCCGGGGGAGCAGCCGCAGCCTCCGCGCCGCCAGCAGGCAGAGTGAGTAGGGGTGCCGTGGGCCACAGCGCAGCCCGGGGGGCCACCCCCGGGAGGAGGGATGCGTAGGGGCGATGCGTAGAGGGGCTAGGGAGGGAAGGGGAGCGGAGGCCGCCAGGCGCGCCCAGGGCGCAAGGAATCGGTGTCCAGCGCCGCCTCAGTCATCTTTCCTGCGGGCCGGCCACCTTTGGGCCGGGGGTGCCTGTGTTTTTGTCCTGGGAGAGGGGCCGCCCTGGTTTCTCCCCCGCTCCGTGATCTGGGGACCCACAACAAACCCACGTGCGCTCGGCCACCAGGAGCCCTGCTTTCTCCACCGCACAGTCTGCAAGGAAGGGTGGGACGCCTTGCAGCGGCGGGGTTCCTTCGGATCCCGCCTGGTAGGTTCAAAGACCAGGAAACTGAGCTTCCCGGCGGGGGTGGGGACACGGGCACCATAACAAACGCACGTGCGCCCAACCCTGGGCTGCCAACCCTTAGGAGCCGCCCCGCGGAACCCGGCCATTGTCTCAGCCACAGGATAGAGAGCAGCTCTGGGGGCGCCACTTGCTGGAGGAGGTCGACAAAGACATTTAAAAGGTACCACCTGGGCATCAGCACAAACTGCCAGACTTAAAAGGGAAAACAAAACAAGAAATCGGCTAAGAAAAGATGACTGCAGGCTGAGTCGGTCCCCGGTGGTGGTGTTTTTACTTGATGTGATACGGACAACCCCTCATTTCCACCTCACGGAGGTTTCTTAGGGATGGGGTTGAATTAAGGGTCTATGGGTCCCCTCCCGAAAAAGACCGTGCCTGGTACACCCTTGTCCCTGCGCTCCGGCGGGAGGGCGCGAGCACCTCAGCAGCCTGCGGAAAGAACGGTCCAATTTAAACAGCGCCCAGCGTGGTTTCATTTGCGCTTTGCTTTGTAGGTCCATGTGTCTAGCCTGCCCGGGTGTCATTGGCCCCTTTTGACTTGTTATGCGTTTTAATTAGCAAGGCCAGCCGAGGCCTCCTGTACGAGGTGGGGGCGCTATTATTTTCAGTTCGATTAGAGTTTGAGAGAAATTCCGAGGTCCGGAAAGAGAGGCCGCTCTGGTTTGTTTTGCTTACATATGCTCAGCTCCGCTTTGCAGATTTTGGTTAATCAGACCTGTTCAGGCGGCAGCAAGATGTTTGGGAGGATGAACTGGCCTTTTAGGTGTTGGTGTTGGTGCAGGAGTAAACCCTGAAGATTGTGGGAGTGGGCACTGCTTCCGTGTGCTTGCTGAGACATCGGGTTGTGGCTTCACCTTGGCTAGTGCCGCTGGAGATGGACCTGTCTCTGGGGAGAACTGGGGATCCTTCAGCCCCACACCACTTTCACTGAGAGTCTGGAGAGCATCCAGTGAGCCCCCTTATTTTATAAGTGGAAAGCGGAGACCTGTTGAGTTTAGCCACTTGTCCAAGATGAAACGGAAATCAGGACAGAGACAGGACTTGAGTGTGGGTCTCCCAACTCCCACACTGCACAAGGCTAGGCTGACAACTAAAGGCAAAACCAGGATTCTGTGGTTGGCTTAAAAGGCAGTGGCCTTAGGCAAAACAGAGTTAAACAAAGAAAGCAATTCAGATTGAAAGGTGCACCCTTCCATTATCCCTTTCAAGAGTTCTTTATTCATTGGAGAAAAGGATAGATTTAGTAATTCCTTATTCTTCATCTGGCCTTTCATAAGCTTAGTTATTTTTCTCTCCTGGCTGCCCCCTCCCTTCAAATTGGAATAGGGCCAACTGTGGAGACTTAGATGTTTTGCCTCTCATCCCTGTGCCAGAAGGCCTTTGTTTGGGCATAAGCATGGGCTGTTGACACCAGCCCGGCCGGGTAGAAAGTATCTCTTAGCATGCTTCTCCTAAGCCACTTGTGGGAGAACAAAACATTTTTGTCATTGATTTAATTTAATTTAAAATTTTTTATGAGAGTTCCATGTAAGTAGCTGCTTATTTTTGTATTTGGCATAGAAGAAGTTGGAAAACCCAAAAAACTTGGAGTCTGGGTTTCCCTACAGCTAATATGCTGTTTTGCCCTGTCCCTGTTATTGCCTGGCTACATTTATTTATTTTCTTAGGGTTTCCAGAGTGTGTCTCATTTTCATGGTGATTCCACTGGACATAAGGAATTTCAGGAATCATCTGGTCAGACCCTTTTATTTTCTAGATAGAAAAATTGAGGCCAAGAGAGGAGGAATTACTTGCCTAAAGACACTCAGCAAGGTGTCTGCTTTTACTGACTCTTTTTTAATCCTTTCCTGAGGATGTTTATCTATTTTAGGGAGAGAGAGGAATAGAGAGAGAGAAGAGAGAAGACAGAAACATCAATTGTTTGCACACCCTCCCCCCCAAGAAGGGGGATCAAACCCACAACCTAGGTTGTGCCCTGACTGGGAATGGAACCTGCAGGTTTTTGGTGTATGGGACGATGCGCCAACCAACTGAGCCACCTGGCCTGGGCTAGTGCCTCTCTTTGCCTAAAGGAAACTGTTGCATCAAAGGAGTTTTTGTTGGTATGTCACAGTAAAGTCAAAGTTATGATGGTTGTTATAACAACTACCTTTAAGTCAGATAATGAATTCCTTAAGGATTCGAATAGGCTTTGGTTATTAAACAAAGCCATAGATCCCAATGGTAGATCTGGTGAGGTTATCATTGGGGATCAGTTTTCTTTAGTGTTTACTAAATGGTTCACTTTACTTTTGCTCTGGGCTCCCACAGACACCTTTTTCCCAGTAGGGAGCTGCTTTGAGTATAATCATAAACCAAAAGGCAGCAAAAACTCAGAAGAGAGAGGCCCCACTTAGCCCTGTGCTACTGAACATCTTGGGCCCTAGTTTCCTTCTTTGTGCAGTGTGGGTACTTTCTTCTGCCCAGGTTCAGTGAAGTGGAAGATGCTCAGGCCTTAGAGTCTGAGGAGCAGGTTTGAGTCATCCCTTCTCTCCCAAGTGCCTTGAAAACCAGAAGGCTGCATCCACATTGTGTAATGTGAGGGTAAGAACATGCATGTATCTCCTTGGTTGTTGGGAGTATTAAGTCATGGGACTCATGTTTAGGATTCTTCAGATCTCTTGGCAGGCTTGGGTGCTCCCCAGCTTTTTAAGTGGCAGAGAATGATGGGAGGCAAAATAGCCCCGGAGGGTAAGCCCAGTCAGTGCTCAAGGAGATCCTACCTAGTCACAAAGAGGTATGAATGTTTGCCAAACTGTTAAGTGGGCTTTGGGTAGTTGTGAAGTGCGTGTGACTCTAAGGTAAATAAACTTAGTAAAAAACAAATCAAAAGCAAAACCAGAACTTTCAGGCCCAAGTGAGTGAGACCTAGTCATTCCATTCATTCACTTCATATTTACTGACAAGCAGATGGGTTGGGTGGGGGTGTCCTGTGCTCAGCCTGGAGTTATAAAGAACATGACCCATTCTCTACCCCACCACCCTTGCTCAGAACACATTTTGGTCATCCCTTAGAAATTGCCTTCAGAAAATAGATCTCATTTATCTCAATATTGACCTGGGCTTTGGGGTTGGGGGAGTTTCTTTTTTCTTCATGAGTCAAACAAGAGCAGGTGGTAAAATGAGAGCATGGAAGAGGGAAGGCTTCCAAGAGAATGTGGCTTTCTACAAATGTGAGGATGTGGTAGCATTAAAAAATGACAGCAATAAATCATTAATGAAATTCATAGTAATCTGGAACATTAGAGTCCTGAGTTTTCGCTCAGACCTGATGTCAGTGATTTGTTCAATAAGAACTGAATTGGGGGCGGGGAGCATTTTTCTTGCTTGTCTGCATGTATGCTACATGTGTTCTGAGTCTGGTAGATGTACTTTTCACGAGTTTATATGTAACAATAACATAGTTTCACATAAAAGACTGAGTCTGGTGGATGTACTTTTCATGGGCTATATGTAACAGTAACATAGTTTCACATTAACTACTGGAGTATTTAATGAATCCCCATATACAATTACTTATCCGCATCTTATCTTCTAAATCATTACTTGAAGGGACAGGTTAGCCTTCAGAATTAGTTTGGTGATTTAGATTTTGTTTATCATTCTGATTATAAGAACAAAGCATGTCCATTGAGGACAATTTGGAAAAGTAGAAAAAAAGTATACAGAAACAGAAAAAAATACCATTATTTACAGACAATGACTGTTAACATTTGGCAATTTTCCTTCTGGTCTTCTTTTTATGGATTTGCTTTTCTCTAAATGGTTGAGAGCACATTGGATGTACTGTTATCTCTTATCTCTTGCTTTTCTTGCTTAACCTTTTCATATGTACATCAGAGTTTACATCTGCATTAAAGCTGTGCCTTTCATTCATCTCCAAGGTCTGGTGGAAGTATTTCATTTTTTCTTGTGGCTGAGTAGTATTCTATTGTATGTAGGTAGCACATCTTTATCTAATCATCTATTGAAGGACACTTTGTTTTCATGTCTTGGCCACCATGAATAATGCTTCAATGAACATAGGGGTGCATATATCTTTGTGAATAAATCTTTTCAAATTTTTGAGTAGATACCTAGAAGAGGGGTTGCTGGGTCATATGGTAATTCTATTCTTAATTTCTTGAAGACCCTCCATACTGTTTTCCCTAGTGGCTGTACTAGTTTACATTCCCACCAGCAGCGAATGAGGGTTCGTTTATCTTCACAACCTCTCCAACACTTGTTATTACTTGTCTTGTTGATAATGGCCATTTAAAAGGTGAGGTGGTATCTCATTGCAGTTTTGATTTGCATTTCCCTAATAGCTAGTGAGGTTGAGCATCTTTTCATACATTTGTTGGCCATTTGTATGTCTTCCTGGGAGAAGTGTCTGTTCAGGTCTTCTGCCCATTTTTAAATTGGACTAGAGGCCTGGGGCATGGATTTGTGCACCGGTGGCGTCCATCGGCCTGGCCTGCGTGGATCTTTTGGCTCTCTGACATCCCCTGAGGGGTCCTGGATTGTGAGAGGGCACAGGGCCGGGGAGGGACAATGGGAGGACTTCAGGGTGTGTGCGGCCAATCTCACCCAGTCCTGATTGGCCAGACCCCAGCAGCAAGCTAACCTATAGGTCGAAGTGTCTGCCCCCTAGTGGTCAGTGCACATCATAGCGAATGGTCGAACAGTCGAACGGTTGGACACTTAGCATATTAGGTTTTTATTATATAGGATTATTTGTTCATTTGGCAAACACAAGCCAGCCATCTTTATTTTAGAAGAAGTGTTAAGTCTAAGGTGGAGGGGGAAGGGCTCTGCATATGGCTTTGGGCTTAGTCCTGCCCTTGTGACCTCCAAAAACTTACTTCAGCACCCCACTTTTCAGTTTCTGTATGTGTTAAACAACTCTAGGGTCATTTATTAATTCATTCCTCACATATTCAAATGCCCACTCT